CATTAAGCATGTGCGTACACACACAATACACATGGATTTTATTTTGAAATCAGAAGTATCAAAAAGATGACAGCGATACATTTTCAATTATAGATATCAAAAGCTTTTACATCAAATGTTTTCAGCTGTGTTTGGAGTTCATCTTTTACAGAATTAATTATTTTTTGCTCTGACTTCAACAGTTATCACTGGATTTATCGCGTKATTTCTTTCCTGCACACCCTCCGTCCTCTGTGTGTCGCACCGGAGCGGAGATGAGTGGAGCGAAGGCTGTATAGACTGGGCTGCAAACAAACAGCTGTGAACTGCGCACTGCAGCGCAGCGGAGCAGAGTCGCATGTAGTGTAAATCTGGGGTTACTCTRGAACACATATTTTAAAAATACAGTTTGGGCCTCCTAAAATGCCATTTCTGTCGCACTCGGTGCTGAAACTCTAAACTTTTCACAATAAAAGTTCTTTATTGATGGGGCCAAAGCATTACCTGAGAGTAAAAGTTTGTTTAAAGTTCAGAAACCTTTAGAAAACTTTGCATTTGTGTGAACCAACTTTCAAAGGATAATAAATCTGTTGCCTTCTAAAGGAATCCTGCACTTGCTCGCATGTTAAGAAGAGTAAAGACCAGCAATGAAACCAAATAAGGACATGTTTGAGTCTTAGAGACATTATCAAAAGATAGTTAGGATTTTTATATAAAACTTGTCTTTCTTTTCTTTGCCCTACAGCCACTCGACAGTGAGAAAGACTCGGCTCTGGTGCTGCTCTGCTTTGGTTTGTGTGTGCTGGGAAGGCGAGCTCTGGGAACAGCAGCCCATCACATGTCCAGGTTATCTAATAATCTTTACTGTACTCAGAACTCAGAACGTGTCAGTGTGTGTTCTCCTATGTAGGTCAAACAATAAAGGTAGACTGATTTCTGAAGACAGTTTTGTCTTTAATGTTTCAGAATAAAAATGTACCACGTTTTCATGGTTGTAATGTTATAACCTGTTTGTTCAAAGAATAATGTGATTAAAACTGACTGATTTCTACTTTCCATCCCAGCAATCTGGAGTCTTTCCTTTATGGACTCCATGCATTATTTAAAGGAGATTTCCGCATCTCGTCAGTGCGAGACGAGTGGATCTTTGCAGACATGGAACTGCTCAGGAAAGTTGTGGTACCTGGAATCCGAATGTCTCTTAAATTACACCAGGTGAGATGCTGAAAGTGGGTTTTACTATCAGTCTTGCATTGTAGATCAAACTGATCATTCCGTGTTTACTTTACTTGTCAGGACCACTTCACATCCCCCGATGAGTATGATGAGCCAGCGGTTCTTTATGAGGCCATCTCCTCGCACCAGCAGAACCTGGTTATTGCTCACGAAGGTGACCCAGCATGGAGGAGTGCTGTTCTGTCCAATGCCCCATCACTCCTCGCCCTGCGCCACGTCCTGGACGAAGGCACCAATGAGTACAAAATTGTTATGCTAAATCGACGATACCTCAGCTTCCGGGTCATCAAGGTATAGTTGCGACAAATGTGGTCTGATATGGTGTTTGTATGGTGTTTGTCCAGGTAATTGTCAACAAATTACCTGGACAATTTTTTGTGTGAAAATGCAGTGTGAATGCTGAGTGTTGAATGACTTTGCTGAAATTTGCCGAATAAGTTAAAACTTAATTGTTGACTCAGTTTTGTTGACTCCCTTATCCAAGAGGGCATTCCACCTGTTTCTGAGAAACGTTGGTGTAATAAGCAGAAACAGTCAGAGCGTTTCCTGCTGCAACTTAAAGCCACATAGAGGCAGCCCTCTCGTTCACTGGGGAAAACTCCCAACACCCTCACAACCTTGCTCATTGGTGGGCTCACACGGAAGTGGCACCCTGTCTCTCTTTTGAGCTTGGCCCAACTGAGCCCCAGGAGTCAAAGTTCAAACTAGGGATGCAAGTTATTGATTAATGAATTAATCTAAATTAATTAATTAATCTAAAAATTGATCTGTTACCTTTTGAAATTGTTTATTTTGCTGCATTTAATCATGAGTACAACATATAAAAGTAGTGATAATTAAACAATATCAAAAACAAAAAGAACACATTGGGCCTCATGCAAGAACCGTTCGTACGCACAGATTTATTCTTAAATTGTGCGTACGAGTGATTTAGGAGAATTTGTGGCATTCA